AGATAATGAAGAATTATTACAAAGCTCTTAATACTGCTAAGTCACCCAGCCAAAAGGCAAAAATATGGCAAAATATCCGTGAGCAATTTGACACGTTATACCCGGATAGGAGCGAAAAGGCTATAAGGAAAAGGTACTTGCGCTATAATGTGTTACGATTGCGTTGCTTCAGTATAAAAATACTGAGCAACGTTTTGTTAATAGGTGGGAGAAGCTTCTGGCGGAATATAAGAAAATGCAAGACAATAATCGGCGAACGGGTGCAGAGAGAATGGAGTTTGAATATCAAGAGGAAATTCAGGATATAGTCACTGACGATCCAGTGTTCAACGAGGTGTACGATTCAGCCAATAGGCGAACTAATATGTCAGAAAAGAAGAAAAGAGAAAAACGAAATGAAACGCTAGAGCTGATTGCACAGCTACATGAACAGAATAGGAACGAAAATCGAGAATTTCAAAGTCGATTATTAACAGTCTTGGAAACGTTTTTGTCTTCAATTGGAAATTAAGCTGTTTGGTATCATCATTCGATAGTGTAATAGTAATGTATATCCAATAGCTATGCGACAAGTATCCGATATTCTTATCGAAAATAAGGAGCAGTTATCCCTGACGCATGTAGAACAAGCCAGTTTAGTATCAGAGTAAAATGCATGCTGCGAATAATTATTCATCAAACAATTGCCTAACTATTTGATTTCTTTTAATTTCTGCATTACGAAGCGTAGCCACATGAGCACCCAGATTTACATCTATGATTTCGTTATTTGCATCACTGTTAGATTTACATCCTCCCACAGATCGTCACAATCAATGCAGAGGTTGTGGAGGATGCAACATACATCTATCATATCAACTATTGTAGTCAGATCAGTTACCTCCATCGGATTTTTTAATATGCACCATCTGCCTTTGAGTTTCCCGAACGCTCTCTCCACAGCCATGCGAGCAGATGAATGTACCTTATTGTATTGTCGTTGAGGTCTAGTAAGCCGCTGAGTCATGCGCTCCTTAAATGGCACAAGCAACCATGGCATTAAAGGGAATGCAGAATCACCTAGTATGTGTGTATCATTTGGAAAGCGTCGGGCTGGATTCTGAAGAAAACGGTTTAATATGTGGTATGATTCGTTCCAATCACTTTGCTTTTGAATACTTACATCCATTACTTCACTCCAAAAATTTGACTGTTTGAAAACCCTCGAATCATGCATACTACCAGGTTGGCCAGTATAAACGTAGGTAAATTTCTCCATATGATTGACGATGGCCATTAATACAACACTATAGAATCCTTTACGATTAATATATCGTTGATGATATTCAACTTGTGGTCGTTGAATTGGGATATGTGACCCATCAATGGCTCCAATTACATTAGGTATACTAATACTCTTTCTAAATTCAGGTGGAGCAAAACCTTCAACTACTTCTTGCATTGATTGATCTGCGGGCCATTTGATTGCATATTGTAAATTTTCCAGAACTGCGATGCAAAACCTTTTCGTGAAATTTTGCACAGATCCCTGGCTGATACCAAACGATGTCTCTAATTCTCTATAAGACATAGGGTTTGCGAAGCGTTGTAATACAATAGCAACTTGCATTTCGATAGGAGTTTGTGGTTTAAAAGGATTAGACTGATAGACGGGATGATTGGAGATGGTATTAAGAAGTCTGTGGAAGGTAGTCTTTGTTATGCAAAAATGAGATTTAAAACCATTTGTAAGACTATCATCATTGAGATTGGGATAAATATTTGTCCAGAATCCATCTGTCTTTGGTTGCAGGGTCAGGGTCAGGGTCAGGGTCAGGGTCAGGGTCAGGGTCAGGGTCAGGGTCAGGGTCAGGGTCAGGGTCAGTGTAACAATTTGCAATTGTTACGATTACGATATTGCAATATCATAATCATTGAGTAATAGTGAAGACGATACTATTTAGTGTCTATGTCGTAATATGTTTACGCTTTTATTGCATCGTTATTTAGTTATTATGTAGTCATAATTATATATATATATTTATATCGTATATCATCATAGTTATATACAGATATCGTCGCGAGAATATGTAAATATAAAAGAACATTATCTTACTCAATAAAACAATGACTTTTTAGTTGAACGTCTAATAAACCGTCCACTGACTTTGAGATTACTAACATTATTTTGAAGTCTTTTACAATACTAGTCGCATGGCTAAGAATTTTTTTAAGGAAAATGTCCCAGAAATCATGGATTGGCCTTCTAACAGTCCTGATCTTAACCCCATTGAAAACCTCTGGGTGATTGTCAAATGAGAGACAGAAAGGCGCATGCCTAAGAATCTCAATGAATTGGAGAGGATTATGGTGGAAGAATGGAATGCTATCCCAATCAGCGTTCTAATTAATTTAGTAGATTCCATGAAGCGAAGGTTATTGTGAAAAATGGTGAACGAATATCTTATTAAATTTATATCAATAAAATTTACTCATTTCAAACTTTCATTTGATATATGATATGTGTGCAATATTGACAGAGCAACATGGGTTTCAAGTTTTCCAATTTTTTTTTCTTCACACTGTAATCATCCCTATATAAAATTGTAAACATCAAATCCACTATGGAACCAGCACAATCAGAAGTATTTTTAAAAAAGAACAGGGTGAAAAAATTGCACCAAATTTTTACAAGCATATTTAGACAAAGAAAAAATTATCTATGAAATTTACCAAGAGGAAAGAGTTTCCAAAAGTGTATTAGAAAATTCTGATCAAAAACCAAGCAAAAAAAGAAACCTACCAAAATAACTTGCTACGGTCGGGAATTAAATGAGGTCTTTGGGAGAGCGATTTATCTTTTGCGTAGGTGTGTTCGCCGACCGGGGGATGTTACCAGG